CTATGTACACTCGCATTGCTTTCACAACTTACCTCCTCGCATTAATATTTAATACAGAAATGATAATCGTGAAATCATAAGCTATAAGCAGCATCAATAGATTCATTGTAACTGCGGTACCATCAAGATGTTACGCACAAACTAATAACAAATGTTTTACATGCTCGGAACAAATATATGAAGCCACTATTGTTAATATCTACTTTCCAGCAATATATGTGAATCTTCCGATGAAGAATATGCCCAATCAACAGAGATGATTGTCAAAAAAAAAAAAAAAAAACGGATATTTTAAAAAAAAAAAAAAAAAAAACGGATAGCTCCCTATATTCAACAAAACGTATTTAACTTTGAGACCAAAAAACAGAGTAGCCAATTTTGGGGAAATTTGTTATTTAACCAATGTTTTTAAAAGCTATTAACTTTCAGTCCAAAAGGATCTGCTAGACGTCGCTGACAGTCTGGGAAGAGCTTCATCCGTTGTCAGAGGGTGTTGGAATTAACTGATGAACAGCTGATATCAGTTGGCTTGTCCTTCTTTTGCTGTGGATAAAATGTGCTCAAACTGTCATCTGTTAGCAGAAAGCTTCAAATTTATTATTTATAGTTCATGTTTTGCTTTTTTTTTTTTTTTTTTCTGTTTATAGTTCATGTTTTGCTTTTTTTTTTTTTTTTTTTCTGTCTGGTGACTTAAAACCTCGCAAAGATTGAACTTCTGTTTACTCAATATTTAATTGGTACATATATATGGCCATATTTGTTCAGCCCTTACTGCAGTTCATGTAATTTCCTAATTTCCTGGTTGAATCACCATTTTTCAGACTAGGGTTAATTGTAGACACCCCCCTATACTCGTAGGCGATTGCGGATGGACCCGCTACAGTTCTAATATTGTTGCGGATAGACTCCTGAGTGATTTGTTGACTCTTTTACCCTCAGTGAAATAGATTTTTTTTTTCTTTGACAAATAGACCTGTCCTGGGTGTTAAAGAAAAGTTTAGAAAAGAAACACTCGGGGGGGCTATTTGCCACCATAGAACTAGAGGGGGTCTATCCACAAATGACCCTTCCGACCAACGTATACGCATTTTAACTCGATGCTTGTTTCTTAAATAGACCTTTTGTTATATTTTAGCGATTGAATCTCATCAATATTTGGTATATTTAAGTGATTGAACCTTATCAATATTTGTTTTATTCAACCTGGATATATATATGCTCTACGATCGTGTTCTTCGTTCTGCTAAAGCGGGTGACGTCACTAAATCGGTGAATGATGAATCCGATCAAACTCCCGTGGCTTGAGGTGCATCTCAGGCTGCAAATTTAATATTCCTTTTATAAACCTAATACCGATAAATAATTTGTAATATTCCTATGAGCAATTGAGGAACTAGTTTTGGTTCAAATCCTTTTGTTAAGAAATAAGAACCGTTATGTGGTTGCACAGTGCACTTGACTTTTCTTTGCACTTGTTGGGATGTAAACAATTTGTTGGATAGCGGATTCCTAATCTATTTTGGTAACATGAGGTTATTAGGATTCCTAATTTGTTTTGGCTTTTGGTTTAGAGGATTCCTAATCTATTTTGGTAACATGAGGTTATTAGGATTCCTAATTTGTTTTGGCTTTTGGTTTAGAATTCCTAGTATGTTTATGATTTTATATTTGTTTTGGCTTTTGGTTTAGAATTCCTAGTATGTTTATGATTTTAGGATTTCTATATATATGGAGCGATTGGAAGAGAGAATGGAGAAGCAAATTGGGGATATTTGGAGCACATAAAAGAGGTATTTTCTGAGCTATTTGTTTAGGGTTTTGTTTGGAGAGATTAAGAGCTTGTTGGTGAGATTAGTTTGTTCCTTCGAGTGATTTGTAATCTCAATTTGTACTCTTTCTCTATTAGTAAAAACCCCATCCCCTTTCTTGCCCCGTGGACGTAGGCAACTTGCCGAACCACGTAAAACTATTGTGTTTGGATTTGTGCCGTTGTTTTGATTTGTTTGGCCTTTATCTCGGCGTTCGTTTGGTTTGGTTTCTCAAAGCACATAGGTTTGTTTGGCTTCCGTCGCGCGTAACAATTGGTATCAAAGCTCCAGATTTCAGATCTAGGGTTTTTTGTCTTGGTTGGAGGAGTAGATCAATTTGGAAGTTCGGCTAGGGCTTCGTTTGGTGAGAAAGGTGGGATCTTTTTGGTAAAGACTCTATCTTTTTCAGTTTGGATTTATTCTGCATTTGTTCCGCATTGGTTTGTTGGCGCTTGGGCTATTTGGAGGAGTAGATCGCTTTGGAGGCTCTTCGAGGGCTTCGTTTGGAGATAAATGTGAGATTTTTCCTATTTGTGGATCTCGTTGCCGTCGTGCGGGGTGAGATCGTTTGGAGACTCTTGCTAGGGTTTCATTTGGAGGTAAAATTCTCTCCTTTATCAGTTTGGATCTATTCTTCATTTGTTGGTTCTTTGAGATAGTTGGCCGAGATAGAAGGATTTGAGGCTGTGTTATTTGTTTATTGATACGGTGCATTGGATTATTGAGAAGTGCCATTGACCTGCATATTGTAGTCCTTTGAGCACGTTGGTATGAGCAAGGAGACCGGGGTGGAGTTTGGCACTTCTATTCGATGATTGAGGGGTCTTCTATTTGGTGTTTATTCAGGCATTCAGGGGCCTTCCAAGGAGGCATCATTGGAAGGTAAATTGGTATTTTGGTTTCCTATGTTGGGGATTATACTAGGCATTTGTGGGTTGCAACCAAGTCCCATTGGTTTTGAAGTTCTAGTAGTCAACAACAGTTGAAGAAGTGTATTGGGAGTAAGGTGAAGGTACATCATTCTGGTTGTAGAAGGAGGTACAAGAGGGACCTACTGTATTTGTGCCGACTCATGGCAGTTTGAGACACTTCATTAGAGAGGAAACATTGGGGCGATGAGATGAGATGACAGTTTCGATGGGTCGTTCCTTTCTGAAGGGGGATCGGCGTTTGATGTCGAGCATTGGCATTGGTGTGCGGGTTACGACATGTTTGGGCCATTTTATACATAGGTTGCCAACTGCTGCATGTAGAGATTTTGGATCTGGTGGAGCTGCTTCAGATTTTGGGTTACGTCGGATGTTTGGCTACCCAACACTTGGTCACATCGTGGATGTGAGATTTGATCCGATAGCACATTTGGGAGTCAGAGACGTGTTTGATTATCAGGTATTGGCTTTTGACATTGTTCTGAGCAGGTATGTCACGTTTGACTCTCGGCAGGTGGAGAGTGGTCAGATCTTTGGGATATCACAGCGGGTGGAGAGTGATGCTACTCCACGTTGGGTGAAGACTCCAGATCATACTGCATCATTTGGGATTCCAGCTGATATGACACAGATTGGGAATCATGTTGATTTGGATGCAGATGATAGGTTGATCGATTCAAGTGTAGCTGATAGATGGAGTCTGGATATGGCCATTGGTTCATCTCAGGTGGAGATGTTTGGATTGTTTCAGTTTGGGGCCATTGGAGGTGCTATCAGCCGTAGACTTGATCGTGATGTTGGAGAATGGTTGCAAACTCTTCTAGTGGATTAAGGCTTTTGGAGTCCGTTTTGGTGAACTACGTGAAGGCTTGATTCATTGAGCAAGAGGATACGTAGGCAGTCATGTATGATGCAGCCGGTTTGGTGAGTTGATACCGACATTTGGAGTTTGTTCGCATTCTCGTTTGGGTTTTCGACTTGTGTGGATTGAGTCCGTTATCGTGGATTTGTTCCACTTCGTACTGGACGCAACAACTGAGACGTTTGGTTGGTATTGGTGTCGGCTCAGTTTTGGGAAAACTTCACCGAGGTGGAGAATTGTTGGATAGCGGATTGCTAATCTATTTTGGTAATATGAGGTTATTAGGATTCCTAATTTGTTTTGGCTTTTGGTTTAGAATTCCTAGTATGTTTATGATTTTAGGATTTCTATATATATGGAGCAATTAGAAGAGAGAATGGAGAAGCAAATTAGGGATATTTGGAGCACAGAAAAGAGGTATTTTCTGAGCTATTTGTTTAGGGTTTTGTTTGGAGAGATTAAGAGCTTGTTGGTGAGATTAGTTTGTTCCTTCGAGTGATTTGTAATCTCAATTTGTATTCTTTATCTATTAGTGAAAACCCCATCCCCTTTCTTGCCCCGTGGACGTAGGCAACTTGCCGAACCACGTAAAACTATTGTGTTTGGATTTGTGCCATTGTTTTGATTTGTTTGGCCTTTATCTCGGCGTTCGTTTGGTTTGGTTTCTCAAAGCACATAGGTTTGTTTGGCTTCCGCTGCGCGCAACAGTGACGTCGGTAGTAAAGCCTAGGGATATGTGGTAAATCCGAGCACTTGAGGAATGTGACACGTGAGAGGCCAACACTTAGAGGGTGTATTGTGTGATTACAATTGTGTAAGTTGTGAAAGTTTTCGGTGAGTTAGAAAACCGATTGTGTGAGTTGTAAACGTTTTCGGTGAACGTTGAAAACCGGTTGTGATAGTAGAGATTCTCCTCGTGAGTGAGGAGCGGAGACGTAGGTTGAGGCTGACCGAATTCCATGATCATATTGTGTGTTTGAGTTTGCCTTGGCGTATTATTTGTGCTCATTGTTTATTTCATTCTATATCACCATTGTCTCATGTTTATATCGCCATTGTTTTAATTACATATCCTTGCATATAATTTATTGTATATCATAATTGCTAGGATAATTGTTACTGCTTTCTCCTGATTTTGTGTCTTAACGGTTGAAGTGCACCGGTGTGTTCTTTTTCCTTTCTTGATTGGCGGCTATCTAATGTTTTGTTTTATCACCTTTGTCCCTTTGCCTTCATGGTATTCAAGTTTAATTCTTTATTGAAGTAGGTCTCAAATTCTTCTTACTGGCATTTTGACCTTCTGAAGGAATTATCTCCTCATTATACGTACCCATCAGTGGGATGTCGATGCGTTACAATGAGAACCCGTGATTCAATGAGTTGCGAAAAGACTCACACTCAGTGGTATCAACCCATTTGAACTTTAAGATATCTATCCAACGAAAAAGTTTACAGACAAGTAACCGGATAACTCCCTATAATACATGCGGTGTACATGCAATTAACCGTTATATCAATTAACACTTCAAAAGGACATCTAATCATTTAAAAATTGCAAAGTTTGAACTAGATTTTCAAACCTCTGCTCAATACTAATCTTTTATGACGACGGCTGCGTAAGCTACACAGATTCTGCACTTAACTCTCCACTATGACAGCATCTCTCTCCGCTATATCAACATATTTCCAACCTTAACATAAGACCGCAATGCACCACATACTATTAACTCTGAAATTTTTATGGAGAAGCAGGAATTGGGTCCGTGCTTGAAATATGTGAAGCAGTATCCTCTTTAGCAATGGCCACATAGTTCACGGGAGCTGCTGGACGATTAGTACTGTCTCTCCTCCCATCTCTACTCGCTGATCTTACTCCATTGCTACCATTCTGATTAGCACTCATAGACTGTCTCCTATTTGGTGTTCCGTTCACACGAGGGCCTGCTGCCTTCTTGGGTCCCACTGGTCGAGCAGGGCTTGGCCTGGAACCGAACAAGGCTTCTTGTTCGGTGTTCATTTGCTCGGTAAACTTCTTCTGATCCTGTAATGAAGTAGAAAATGGAGGTTGATGTTGTTTTATTAGGTTAAAGAGAGGGAGAAAATGTGTTTTATGTTAGTTACCCTCATTCTTCGTTTCTCTTCCTCTCTCTCGTGCCTGAGCATGGTGTACTCGTCAAGCATTGCCAGGAGAGAGACTCCATCATATGTGAATGTTATGCCGTGATCAGCCTCCCATGCTTTTGTTTTAGCCACCAAATTATCAACAAGAGCTGCGCGGACCAAAAGACAAAAGATCGGGATTGGATAATGAATGTAAGGTAATATTTCCAGCAGTATGTACAGCGCAAAGGAAAAAATATGAGGTGGCAGAGAGACTAATCACATGGAAATTGATCTACCTCACCACTTACTATCTTTTGACAGTTCATTTTGCTAAAATAGATGGTAACTCATATCTAATAAGCGCAGCATAATTATCATATACTAGACTTCACACAGTTACTAACAGGTGCATGTACAATAGGGCTTTCCGCAGATGAACATAACCTGATCTATCATTAAAACGGGTTTCCAAATCCAAGATTTGAGCTGTCCAGATTAATGGTTTAAATTTCGGGAATCCTGGATTAAAACATCATAAACCATGAAATGATAACTACAAGCATGTACATTGTGTTACACTGATGAACAGTAAAGATTGTGTCCATGTTCAACATGCATCCAACAGTGACACATGCAAGATCCAACAGTGAACATGCAAGATACCTGGCGTCCATTTGTTGCCCGTACCTATTGTTGAAAAGGCATTTTCGCTTTCTAGCCTATACATGTTTCTCTTCTATAATGACTTTTGAAGTATGCATATTTATTTTCCATTGGGCCGAAGAACAAAAATTGACAAAATTGTAGGCTATAACCCATTAAAGTCTTGATTTTTTAAGAAAGAAAACTTATTTGACATTTGGTACAAACTAACAAAATTAAATTAAAATCATGGGTTTATAACCCATGGAACTTGCCATTAGAATCAGACGAACAAACATTGCCAACATCATGAGTTAGATAACCCACGAAAATCGCGATTTTGAAATAGTCATAATTTATTGCCAGTAGGTAGAATGAACAATAATGGATAAAAATAATGGCTTATAACCCATGAAGATCGTGAATATCGATGTTCACACAATTATTTGTTAAATGGTCGAAACGAACAAAATGGTCAAAATCATGCTTATAGCCCATGGAAATAACAAAGTTTGAAGTACGCATATTAATTTTTCAATTGGTCGAGGAACGAAAATTGACTAAATTGTGAGTTATAGCCTTTGTAAAATCACAATTTTAATGAAAGGAAACTTAATTGACATTTGGTCCAAACTAATGAAACAAACTAAAATTGCGGGTTATAGTCCATGAAAAGACAAATTTTGAAGCACATATAATTACTTGATATTGGGAGGAAACGAAAAAAAATATACCAAAATCGCGAGTCATAACCCACCAAAATCTCGAATTTTGAAGTAGTCTTAATTAATTATCATTAGGTCACATGAACGTTAATAGACAAAAAAACGATGGCTATAGTGTATGAAAATCATGAATATTCAAGTTTGCATAATTAACTGTTAAATGGTCAAAACGAACAAACTAGATAAAAACCATGGATTATAGCCCATGAAAATAACAAACTTTGAAGTAAGCATATCTATTTTTCAAATGGCTGAAAAACGAAAATTTATACAATTGTGAGTTATAGCCCATGAAAATGACGATTTTTAATGAAAGAAAATTCAATTGCCACTGGCTTGAAACTAACAAAGATAGACTAAAATTGTGGATTACAATATATGAAAATCACGAATTTTGAAGTATAGTTACTAAACTTTGGGAGGAAACGAACAAAACTTGCAAAAATAATGGATTTAACCCACCAAAATCACAGAATTTGAAGTGGTCATAATTAATTGTCATTAGGTCGATTGAACGATAATGGACAAAACACGTCAGATATCGCACATGAAAATCATGAAGATTGAAGTTCGCAAATTAATTGCTAAATGGTTGAAACAAAAAAATGGACAAAAACAATGGACTACAATCCACGGAAATAACAAAACTTAAAGTAGGCATATGTATTTTCCATGGGTGGAAGAACCGAAAATTGACAAAATTGCAGGTTATGCACCATGAAAGCCGCGTTTTTTATTGAAAACAAACGTAAATCACATTTGGTGTAAACTAATGAAAATAAACTAAAATCGTGGGTTATATCCCATAAAAACCGCGAATTTTGAAGTACGTATAATTATTTAGTCATTATTGACCAAACAAGTAAAAATTGCCAACATCATGAGTCATAGCCCAGAATATTAACGTTCGCACAATTACATGTTAAATGGCTGAAACGAACAAACTGTACAAAAATCATGGACTAAAGTTTAATGTTACACAAGTGAGCATATGCATGCCACAAATGAAACTGAGGTGCTAAATGAATGCAATTTCAAAACAAGAATAATGAAAGTGTGATAATAAGAATGAGTTAATAAGCAAACTATAGTAAAAGAACAACTTTTAAAAAGGTTACATGTGACAAAAAGTGGGGATGATGTTTTAAGTGAGGTGAGAAAATATTAGTCCGAAGAGCACCTTCGAGACGTCAATATTTCATTCACAGATTGGAATATTGAACACACTATACCCAGACATAATTTCTATTAATTTGAAAATATACAAATTGGAACAATTCCTTAACAGGGTTTGGGTTATGATGAGGCTCCACGGCCCACCATCCCCACATAGTCTACAATGCCAAGCTCTTTGATTAAAAACAATTGAAACAAATTTCTCCTTTTCGATGTCGGACTAATTTTTTTTACCAGTTCACATTTCTTCCTCCTTATTCTTGGTATTTACATTGTACTGCTTCCAATGTCAGACTAAAATTTACTGCTTCGTATTTTTTTCTCTTTGTTCTCAGCAATGTTCAAAAACACAGTTTTATTATTTATGCGATTCAGGAGTTTCTAATGAGTAATCAGATTAATCGTTGATTAAGCGAATTACGTAGGATTATGCATTTTTGAATTTTTAATATATATTTAATAGTTTATCATATGTTCAAATATATAAAATTCTTCAAAATAGAAAATACACTAAGAAAAAACCAATGAACATGCATTTTCATGATCAATAACTAGTCGACTACTTAAAAGTTCAATCCATATATCCAAAGCAATTTTTTGGGATTTAGGTTAGATGGGAATGAGTTGTGTGTTATGGCTTTTGAATTGAGACACCCGTTTCTTTTGAAAAAGTCCGCATAATTAGATTATGCGGGTGCATGAAAAAAAACCTCTATTATGCGGATCATCGCATAATAGGGCACTTTCTCATTTCCTACGTGGTTTGCTTGCTTTCACGTTTAATCCGCCTATTAAGCGGCCTTGTAATCCTTTTTTAGAACATTGGTTCTCATTATTTGCACTCATACTACTATTAGCTCTGAGGTGCAAAGAAAATGTCACAGTCACACCATAAAAACTCCCAACATTTATTCTGACAAAAAAAAAGAAAAAGAAAAAGAGGAGAGTAAAAACTATAATTGGTTTTCAGATAGAAGAAGATAATGCTCCGATCATTTCTATCCTCTAGAGCGCTGCTTTAGCTGTGTGAGCTCCAGCAATGAGCTCCTATGGCACCTCGACCTGAAGCCTCACTCCTCTAGTGACTTCTCCATCCCCATCATCCAAGCAAATTCCTCACTTAAAGATCAAGGTCAAATCTTCACCTCTCCATCAGCAACCTATGTCAGCATCTACAATGGCCATGGCAGACCCAAAGCCTCTCATTTTGAAAATATTAAACTTTACACAAATAATTATTAAATGGTCAAAACGGGCAATGTACAAAAATCATAGACTCTAGCCCATAAAATAATAAAGTTGGAAGTACATTTTTTTTAATAGGATGAAGAACGAAAATTGACAGAACTATGGGTTATAGCCCATGAAAGTCACATTTTTTATGAAAAAACTTAATTGACATTTTGTCCAAACCAACAAAAATAAACTAAAATTGTGGGTTATACACCTATAAAAATTGCGAATTTTGAAGTATGTATAACAAACAAAAATTACCAAAAATGTGGGTTATAACCAACCGAAATCACAAATTTCAAAGTAGTCATTGTTAACTGTTATTAGGTCGAATGAACGATAATGGACCAAAATCGTCGACTTAGGGCATGAAAATCATGAGTGATGAAGTTCGCACAATTAATTGTTAAATGGTTGAGCAAACAAAATGGATAAAAATAATGGACTATTGCCCATGAAAATAATGAATTTTCAAGTACGCAAATTTATTTTATTTGGTCAAATAATAAAATTTGACAAAAAAAATCATGGGTTAAAACTCAATGAAAATTATTTTTTATGAAAGTAAATTTAATTGTCATTGAATTGAAACTTACAAAGACTAACATCATGTATTACAGCCCATGAACACTGTGAATTATGAAGTATGTGTAATTTACTTGCCATTAAGACCGAACGGAGAAAATGCCAACATCATAAGTTATAACCCACCATAATTGCAAATTTTGCAATAGTCATAATTAATTATCATTTGGTCAATGAACAATAGTGGACAAATTCGTTGCTCATAACCTATGAAAATCGCGAATATTTGCACAACTAATTACTAAATGATTGAAGGGAACAAGATGGAAAAAGATAATGAACCATAGCCCATGAAAATAACAAATTTAGAAGTACGTACTTTTATTTTCCAAATGGTCGAAGAACAAAAATTGACAAATTTTTGGGTTAAACCCATGAAAATCGTGATATTTCATGAAAGAAAATTTTATTGCCAGTTGGTCAAACTAACAAAAAAAACTAAAATCATGGGTTATTGCCCATGAAACCGCAAATTTTGAAATACATAATTATTTTCCATTAGGCACCAACACTTGTAAATGATCAAAACAAACAAAATGCACAAAAATCATGGATTACACCCATGAAAATAACAAACTTTGAAGTACACATATTTATTTTCAATTAGTCGCAAAATCAAAAAATTGATAAAATTGGAGACTATAGCATGAAAGTGGCGATTGTTTATGAAAAAGGATTTAACAACCATTAGCTTGAAACTAATAAAGATGGACTAAATTCGTGGATTATAGCCCCATGAAAATCGTGAATTTTCAAGTGCTTATAATACTTGATATTGGGAGGAAATAAACAAAATTGTAAAAAAC